CTCTCTCTCTCTCTCTCTGTCTGTCTCTCTCTCTCTCTCTCTCTCTCTCTCTCTCTCTCTCTCTCTCTCTCTCTCTCTCTCTCTCTCTCTCTCTCTCTCTCTCTCTCTCTCTCTCTCTCTCTCTCGTCTCAGTGTTTTGTTGTGTCTCGTCGCTGAACGCGCGCCGAGGCCGTGAGCGGATCTGAGATTGTCCGTGTGCTGGATGCTGGCTGCCCCATTTGCTGGCTGCCCTGTTGTTGCTGTACTGCCACTGCACGGTGCAACTGGTGCTTCCGCTTGCTCTTTGCTGTTTGATGACGCTGCTGTCGTCTTGCATTGGACTTTTTAGGCAGTTGTGCCCCTGGCCCCTGTGCTTGTGTCGGTGGTACGTATCCTCCCAGTCGATGGTCTTGACCTCGCACGGCGCCCCACCTTGACCTCCTTTACCTTTGAAGTCTTGGTCCGCGTTCTTTTGCCGCATGCCTCTGGCTCTTTCCCTTGCTCTTCTTGCATTTCGTTGCACCTACACCCGCTTCGACTTTTCCACTGTCATCGCCGTCCATATATGACACTGGCGCACGTTTTTCTTTTTTTCTCGCATGACGTGTTGCCACTTGGCTTTGACAGTGACAGCGCCGACTCACGCCAACTCCCTGCGTCGCCCCCGCCTTTCTTTTCCTTTGAACCTCCAGGACAGGATAAACCCCTGCCCACATCACTGCCCCTTCGTCCCCTTGCCCTCCTTGGTGACAGGTGAGCCAACTTGATTGTTCTTTTCTTCTCTTTGTGTGTGCGTCTCTCTCTCTCTCTCTCTCTCTCTCTCTCTCTCTCTCTCTCTCTCTCTCTCTCTCTCTCTCTCTCTCTCTGTGCATCTGTCTGCCTCTCCTCCTTTCTCCGCTCGCTCAAGTGAGAGGGTTTGCTGCTTTTGCGCTCCATTGGTGTCTTCGAACACTCGAGGCATTGCTCCGAGTACCTATCTCCTTTCTCGTTTCACGTCGTTTTTCCTATTTTTTTTTCTGGCTTTTTGACCATTTTTTTTTTCTTTCCTCCTTTTTTTTGATCCATTTTCCTTGACATGACAAGGCCAGCTCACATTGTTGCGACGTGTCCTTCAGGTGTCCCTGTTTGACCCTTTTCACCTTGACTATGGCCAATCGTCTCACTCCCGACTGGTGAGTTTCGCACCCTTTGACCACTGAGCCCCGATGTGACATTGCTCTATCATTCTAGCCCTAACTCTCCCCGCCCCACTCGCCCGTTTTATTATCTGACCACTTCGTCCGAACTCCAACGCCATCCACCAGGCTGCGCCAGGGTGGGAGCGGGCCGCCAACTCGCGCCACGCGCACGAGCAGTGCCCCTTCAGCTCGCCGCAACACCCATGCCATCTCGCGCGACGAACTCCTGCGTCGCTACCCCACCAACCCCGTCATGCCCTGCTCTCTGGAAGCCTTTCGCCAAATTATTACCGATCAACCCCAGCGTCCACGTAGCTACGACCCCATCACCGAGGCCGAACGCGTGAGTCCGCTTCTTCAACCCAAATTGTCTTCCTCCTACTCGACAATGTTGCCATTCACCCATCTTCTCATCCTCTCTAGCACGAAAACTCAAAGGGCATTGGCCAAGTTCGAGTGCCCTTTGGTCGTGGACGAGGTACCGTCTTCAAACAGCCCTTGATTAGTCTTTTTCCTTCGCCCATGCTTTGGTGTTTTTCTTGTTCGCTTTTGGGTGGTCTTTTTGTACTTTGGTTTGCCTGCAAGTGTCTTTTTCAATTTTTTTTTCCTTGTTTTTTAACAACTCAGCTCTCCTTCCCCTCACACGCCTTTCCTTTCTTTGCCACTCCCACTCCTGTGACTTGTGTGATGTCAGGGCGAGTGCGCACGGATTCAGGTTCTGAACGTGGTCCTCTACCCGTGGGTCGAAGCAGCACACGCTTTATCCCTCGCCACTCTGCTAGCGGACCTGGTGATGTCGAGCATCAACCTCGACCCCACCGTCAGGTTTGTCCCCTGCTACCCCTAAAGACTTGGAACTGTCACGTCTTTTCTGAAGCAACTTGACTTGCCCCTAGTTGGGCTTGGTGTCGTAAAAGTTTGTTCTTTTTGTCTATTTGTTTTTTT